GAGTTTTGTTTGTAAGATGTTCAAATCAACTGCGTCATATGCCCCTTTAAGATCTAAAAAAATACATGCTGTGTATTCATTTTTTGAGAATGAATACTGAATATTATTAACTAACTGAGTACAGGCGTCTAAAGTACCTTTAGACTTACGAAATCCGTACTGGGAACTAGGTAACAGAGAGTTATGTTCAAAATACCATTCTAAACGACGTTTAATAATTCTCTCAAAAGTTTTAGCAAAACACGATAACAGAGAAATTGGACGGTAAGACGATGGATCGCTAGGGTTTCTCATTGGTTTAATAATAAATATAATTACCACTTCTTTAAAAGATTCAGGAAGAACTTCTTGTAACCACCATTGATTATAAATTTCAACTAAGACACTTTTTAAATTGTCTGGTAAATTTCTAATGAAAGAATAAGAAAAGCTGTCTTTTCCAGGAGCTGTGTTACAAGTGGTTTTAATTGCTAATTCTAATATAGGTAAAGTTATTTTAGAATAAAGATTATTTTTATTTCCCAATTCCCTATTATTTACCAGCTGAGGAATGAAACTTAAATCAACAAATGGAGGAGCAATATGGTCAAATAATTTTTCTATTAGATCTGGAGCCAGGACAGTTTTTTTTTATTATATTTATTTTTGTTTGAAATACTTTTTATATATCTCCATACTGAAGATATTGGAGTATTTTTGTTTAAACTACTAACAAATTTTGTCCCAGCTGTTCTGTGCTTTTTGTTTGAATATCAGCTTAATTTTGGCCTGCAGATTTTTATAAAAAATAAAATTGACAAAATTCGATGTGTGACTATAGTTGCATAAAGCTATCTTTCTACTCTCAACTAAATCGGAACACTCAGAGTCCCACCATGCTGGAAGGAACCTTGAAGGAGTAAAAGGATTGTTTCTGGGCATAGATAAATCTGCAGCTGCCGTGACAGCTTCAATGAAATTTGGGAATGAAGTGGATTCAGATGATGAAGAAGTAAAAATATTGTCCAAATATGATTTGAAGGAAATCCAGTTAGCCTTTTTTTCGTTCCAAATATTTGAAGGAAACACCTGAAAATGATTTTTAATCATTTAGTTTTATCTCACTATAATTATTTCTAGTCTACACTTTTTATTTTTAATTTTATCAACCTGTTAAATTTTTAATGTATCCACTGTCCGAAAGTTTGTTGTTTTTATTTAAAATTTTATTCGATTGACTCAAATCCTGTAAGTAGTAATTTTAAATTATTTTATTAGTGTATTGTTTCATTTAAAAATCTTGTAGTTCGCTCCTGATGAAGCTATTAAACAATGGCGAAATATTGAGCAAGTAAGGAAAAGAGTTTTATTTCTTAGGACCGCTAACCTGATATTATCTTCACTTAAAAAAATATATATATATATAATTAATTTATCCTCTATACATTTACAGAGGTGCTGCAATATAGATTGTACAAAATAACCAAAAAAAGGCTGTAATAACTAGATAGGAAAGTCATGTGTTGTACATATCATATCACCTAATAAGAAGATTTAAAAAACTCAATAAAATGATGTTCAAGCAACATCTTCATCTTGTTTTGATTTATAATATTCAACGAAATATTTAGATAGGTGTAACACTTTCTTTACTTTTGAGATAAATCCAAACAGAAGGCATAAATACAAGAAAATTTGGCTAGCTTCGGGTGTGCTTAGTTGCACGGTTTTTTACACCACCTCGTCTTTATCTCATATTTTAAAAATCTGAAAAAATGTACAACGAACTAAGTTAATTTTCTAAAAAGTTTATTCACAAACCTAGTCCGGTCCTGTCGGTTGTATTTCCAGCCACCTGTACTGCATTGTGAATTCACAGCTGTAGTGAATAGTTGGTCTGCCGATGAGTTAGTCAAGACGCAGATTGTTTAAGAGTACATTTAACACGATGACGAAAGTGAATATACAAAATTTTCTAATGGACGATTTTTATTTTTAAGACAGCTATAAGAAACAATAACTTCTTAAATTTTTACGGACGAAACAATTTAAAAGACTATACGCCATAGATAGTATTGCTGAATATCAATATTGAGATTTCCTCTTATTTTTGTATTTTTAAAGGGATATTGAAACACATACTTTATTGTCGTTTACCATATCGTTCATCAATTAAATTAAAATTTCTTCATTTTGCTGTATTGACGATTAATTTCAATTATTTTAATCTAAAACCGAGCGGATGACGAGAAAGATACAAGTTACAATCTCTTAGGTTAATAAAAACCATAATTTATATCTAAAAAATTCCAGGACCGGACCCTCTTTTTTTATATTGCTTTTCTTAGCTAGAATATCATCCTGAATATCGGATTTTAATAAATGTTACTGCACATTTAAATAATACATGGATCAAAAAATAAAATAATGTAATAATTTTTAATGGCACCATCTTGATGTTCTTACAATAAATTTTTATAATGGCGACTACATTATTATCTCTGTATCTGTAACGTGTGAAGGGTGGGTTACCCCCACGGCACTTAGGCCTCTTTAGGCCCATTATGCATCCTTCTAAGATGATAGGCACCTCCTAGCTCGTCAGCCAGCCTACAGATTTATTGTAGTTGACAACGTCACCAAGAGGTGCTTCTATTATATTGGCCGGTCTTAGCCGATACTTGTCGAACACAAATCTTCTAATACATGAGAGCGTTGAGCAATCGTAAAGGATATGCTTGATGGTATCATCTTCTTGTTTGCACCCTCTGCAGAGTGCGGATTCTGACAGCTTCATGATATGGAGATGCTTCCGTACTTGGCAATGACCAATCAGAATGCCTGTGACCAGACGCAGATTATGTTTAGTCATAGTCAAGTATTTGTTTTCTGCAGTGTTGTCAGGATAACTTAAGAGCTCCCTGGCAACTCTGCAGTTTCTTGTTTCATCTTATCTTTCCTTGAATTTCACAAGGGAATGTTTTTTAATTAGGTCTGTCACTACCGATTTTGTCAGACCAATAGAAGGGCCAGGTCCAAAAAGTATTTGGTTGGCTGCTTTCTTGGCTAGTGAATCGGCAAGACGGTTAACTGTCGATGTGGCGTGACCTTTGATCCATCTTAATGTGACCACATTGTTGATAGATACTTCGGCCAAAAAATCATTACATTCTAGTACTAACCCTGAATAAATTCGTGGTCTGTTCAGGGTGAGTAGTGCTTGTCTGCTATCGGTATAGATGAGCATGTTCCTTCCAGTGATATTATTTCTGGTTATTTCTTTTGCTGCTATGAGAATCACCGTTAGCTCTGTTTAAACTACACTGGCACTATTGCTCACAGCCCATTTTATGTTTAAGTTTAAGAATCTGGTGTATATTCCGCATACTGAGCCTTGGTTTATTTAAGAATCGTCGGTGTAGATATGAATCGTACCTGCCACTTCTGGCTCTTTTATTTGTTCTATTATAACTTTATATGGCTTATGGAAGATATATTTCGGTGAGATGGAGTCCATGTTCGCTTGAAGCAGTGGGAGCGTATCGAGAGCGCCTCCTACCAAAAGCGACGTCTCGCCTCACCAGATCCAACATCAGGTTCTATTCCGACCGTGTGGAGGCGTGTCATTATCGTCAGAGCAACCTCCTTGATTTAAATATTGAGACTAAGAATGACTTCCTTCGCTCTAGTCGGTGTTGTTTTTATGGCTCCTGTTATGTTGAGACATGCTGTTTTTTGAATTTATTCTAGTTTACGGATAGCTGTTAATTTTTGGGTTTTCGGTACCCATACAACTACACCGTATATTAACATGGGTCTTATGGTAGCCGTGTAAGTCCATGCGATGACTCTGGGGGAGAAACCCCAGGTGGGTCCCACAGTACGGCGGCATTGTTCATAAGCAATATATGCTCTTTTAACTCTGTTTTCTAAATGCGAGTTCCATGTTAACTTGCTGTCAAAGGTGAGACCTAGGTACTTCACCTCTGTTGCAAAGTTTAGTTTTGTGTTTAGGAGTTCTGGAGGTTTTAATTCCATTTTCATCCTTTTCCTTGTGAAAAGGACCATTTCTGTCTTCTTAGGATTGATAGACAGTGAATAGTCCTTGCACCACTGTTCTATAATTTTTAGAGCTACTTGCATATTTTCGCAGAGTATGTTCTCAAAATTCCCTGTTTGTAGAAAGGTCGTCTGCATATGCGATTGTGTAGTGACTGTCATTATTGAGGCGGCTGATGAGGGTGTCGAGGACCATATTCCACAGTAGAGGTCAAAGCACCCCTCCCTGTGGACATCCCCTCGCAACCAAGACTCTTATATTAAGATCTTCTACACTTATGTTTACTGCTCGCTTTGAGAGCATGTTATGTATCAACCCACTGACCATTTGTGGAACATTCCTGTTGGTTAGTGAGTGTATTATCTTTGGAAAGGTGGTTTTATCAAAAGCACTTTCTATGTCTATGAAAACACCTAAGGCGGACTCCCTATTTTCCAGCGATCTTTCTATCCGGCCAGCAACTAGATGAAGGGCTGAATCAGTAGATCTACCTGGGGTGTATGCATGTTGGTTTGGGTGTAGTGGTGTTGTAATCACCGAATCCCTTATGTACCTTTCACATAGTCTTTCCAATGTCTTCATGGAAAACGATGTCAGACTAATTGGTCGGTATGTTTTTGGGACAGTGTAATTCATCCTTCCAGGTTTGGGTATAAATACCACTTCTACCTCTCTCCATTTTTTTGGGAATATACCTCAGAGCCAACGAGGATCTGAATATACCAACCAGGTGCGGAGTGAGTTCTTCCAGACCCCACTGAAGTAGGGCTGGATAGATACCGTCAAGTCCTGGCGATTTAAATGGAGAGAAGCTGGATATTGCCCATCTAATTTTTTATCGTCTACAATGTGTTTGGCAGTTTGCCAATCATAGACAGATGGATTGTATTCTTCCTCTGCCCAGTCGGCCACGTCTGTGATGACCGAGTCAGGAAAGTGTGTTGACAGCAGAAGTTTAATGTTATCTTCGAGGTTGGCAGTTTTCGTGCCATCCCCTTTGATTAGCGCACCAATGCTTCGGTGTGGATCTTTTGAGAGAGCTTTTTGATGCCTCGCTGCCTGCGGGAAATCTTCGATTTCTTCGCAGTAGGATCTCCATGCATCTTTCTGTTTTTGTGTGACGATTTTTTTTGTATTCTCTGAGGTGAGATTTGTAAGTATCCCAGTCCTCTTTGAGTTTTGTGGTTCTTGCCTTATTAAAGGATGTCCTAGCCATCTTCCTGAGGTGATCCAACTCGTGACACCACCATGCGATAGTCGTCTGATCGTGTTGGATTAGCTTTAGGGGACAGGATTTCTTATTGGCATTGTTTATTGTGCTTTGGATAGTGTTTGAGTACTTCTCCAAAGCATTGTTATTGTTTGGTGTTTTGGCCTCCATCTCTCTCAGAGCCTCTTGGAGAAGGTGGGCATAGATTGCCCTGTCCGTCTTTCTAGGGTTCCTAGATAGCGTGGAGGTCGGCAACATCAAGTTTATTTTAAATGTTAACCAGCGGTGGTCTGACATCGAAATGTTATCAGACACTTGCCAGTTATTATTATTATTAATCAGTATTTACAAAAGTAAAATCAAATATTTTACCCTGTACTTTTAAAACAGAAATTAGGTACCATCTTTATTTATTTTTAACTATTGCATTTTTAAAAAAAAAATTGAACATCTACACAGGACCGGGCTCACTTTATTTGATAAAGTAACAGAACAAACTAACAGAAACAAATAGTTAATTTAAACTAAAGTAAATTTTCAAAATAAACACTGTGGACGTCAATACACCTCTGCGAACGTTTTAACAGGTTTTTCACTGATTTGTCAATTATTTCCGGTTTATTTCTAATGTTGTTCCATACATTATTAATTTTTTCCCACAGCTGTGCTCGGGTATTCATTTCTTCGTTGTACACCTCTGATTTAAGGTAGCCCCATAAAATAAAATCCAGAGGTGTTAGATCTGGAGATCTTGGGTGCCAATTGGCGGGAGCGCCTCGAACTATTCAGCGACTTGAGCATACATTAAATGTTTGCTGTGAAATTTTTAAAAAATCACTTAATACCCAAGCACAGTTAAATCATCGTTTCCCAAATAGATGGAAAGGTCGAGGCGGTCCCGTCAATTGGCCACCAAGACCTTCAGATCTAACACCTCTGGATTATTTTTTATAAGGCTACCTTGAATCAGAGGTGTACAACGAAGAAATGAATACCCAAGCACAGTTATTGGAAAAAATTAACACTGTATGTAACAACATTAGAAATAAACCGAAAATAATTGACAAACCAATGAAAAACCTGTTAAAACATTCGCAGAGGTGTATTGACGTTCACGTTTTTTATTTTGAAAATCTACTTTAACTTTAATTAATTATTTGTTTCTGTTAGTTTTTTCTCTTACTTTAATAAATAAAGTGAGTTCGGTCCTGTGTAGATGTTCAATTTTCTAATTTAAAATGCTGTAGTTAAAAAAAATGATGGTACCTAATTTGTGTAGAGTTTTAAAAGTACAGGGTAAAATATTTGATTTTAATTTTGTAAATACTGATTTATAATAATGTTGTAGCCATTATAAAAATTTATTGTAAGAACATCAAGATGGTGCCATTAAATGTTATCACAATATTTCATTTGTTGATCTATTTAATATTTAAATGTGCAGTAACATTTATCAACATCCGATATACAGGGTGATATTCTAGCTAAGAAGATCAATATAAAAAAAAGAGAGTCTGGTCCTGGAATTTTTTAAATATAAATTACGGTTTTTATTAACCTAAGAAAGTGTAACTTTTGTACAAAATTTTATCAAAATAACTCTAGCCGTTCAAACAAAATGGCCGATTTTTTTTTTTTTGACAAAAAGTCATAAAACACCTATATCTCAAAAACAAGTAATATTAAAGGCTAAGTATAGGGGTGTTTTAAACTCATCTAAGTGTACTCTATCTCCCATTAAGCTGTGTCCGTTTAAATCTGAAACACCCTGTATAGATACAAAAGGTACCTGTAAAGTATACTTACTGGCAAGACATAATATTTAACAGTATGAGACAAAGAACAAGAAGCTCTTTAGAAACCTTAAACACAGATATTTGCGGTCCAATACAACAGTAACTGATAGTACTAGATGATTACAAGCACTATTCTAGAGTTTTCCTACTATGTAGTATATTTGTGTTGATTCAGCCACTTTTTTTCTCTTTAAAGGCCTTGGTGATTTTTGGTAACGGCCCTACCGCTCTTGTCGAAAGTGACGTTCACAGTCGAGTTTTCGTGGTTAAAATTATTCGTTTTAGACATTGGCAGTCAACAACTACTATTTAACAAACGAAAACTGTTTCGTAACAGTTAGGAAAATCTGAATTAGAAAAAAATATTTTCCTTTGAAAAAGTAATACTTTTCCACTCCATATTATAAATAATATCATATATTCGACCCCTAAAAATGAAGTAGTAGGTTGTACTCTTAATTTGATTCAGAAACGTGAAATATTTTCCAATACATTCACAAATGTAGATACTACTAATCGTTATGCAAATATGGAATTTCAATCTAAGACAATTACGTTACATTTCAAATTGATTCGAATTCCGAAAGCCAAATGAGCAATTCTATGTCCAATTACTGAGAAATCTTATTCGTTTGTGGCTTGCATAATGTTCCCAGTAAATGCCTGAGCTTAATTTCTATAATTATAATTATAGAACAGAATCCGAACAATATGAGCCACTATGGAACACGTAGCAGTCACGTACAATAATATATTTTTTTTTTGATATACAAAATTTTAGAAAGTAAGAAAATGGTTATTGATGTCAATTTATTGTTCCTGGCCTATACGGTTTTCAACAAAAGAATAAATAAGTAGCAAGTTTAAAAAAGAATTAAGTTTATATTTTCATTTAAAGATAATTTTAGTGTCCAGCCGTACTGCACCCTGCAGTCTTGTCTACGATTGAACTTTACTAATTCGATATTGCGATTAAGTTAATAATTGTTTGGAAATATATCAAGACAAAAGAAAGTGTGACAAGGACCCTTCAAAATTGTCAGAACTGTCATTTGATTTTTGATTTTCATTAATTTCAAGCTTATTATTGTAGTCTATGAGTGATTTTTTGTATTTTATTACTTTAGTGATACAAATTTTAACAATGGTGAGAGTTTGTGCAAGTTTTAAACAGAAATTTGAAAATGCATCGTCGAGGTCATCTCACAAGTAAGTAACCATTAGCGTCTCTACCATTTTTTTAAAAGAAACATAAGACCTACATTTTATGCAAAAGTCCGTTCATAAATTTAAAATAAATGGTAAAATTAGTGAATTAAATTTAAAGAACTTAAACTATGTATGAGGAATATTGTTTTAGATTTTGGAGTCTATATACTGAAAAGTTAAAAAAAATTATTCATAATTTTTCAATTTAAACAAGCTTTTCGTTTTTAAGTAATTTTATCGTGATAATGTTGAAGACTAGATGCGGAGGAAGAACTAGATTAATTCCAGGGGCATTTCCATCAGAATTTACTGCCCAATAAATATTTCCGGTTACCCGAATTTTTATAATAGATATATATTATTAACAAATTTATATAAGAAGGTTTCGGAGTTTTATAACCTATACCTTTTGGTAACCAGGTTTTATAATGGTTTTATATCATTCATAGTAGTTATGGGTATATAACAAGGTAACAGAACTATTTCCATCACCATTTTATAAAACTTTAAGTAACGATTACTAGTGGTTTTATAAAAAGTTGACATATGGGTTACCGTAACTCTATTTATATAACTAAAATACCTTAAGATTTTTAATGGTGTCGTAAATTACCTTTATAAAAACTGGTAGAAAGTGGTGTTGACTATATTTGTTATAAAACTATTGGTTATTGTATGGCCTCTTTTATAAAACTTTGCAACCATCAGTAATACAAATTATCCTAATATAACTATATACGTCATTTGTCATTTTTGTTATTTTTTTATTAGAGAGAGAGAGAGAGAGATATTATTATCATCATGATTAACTAAAAAAAAATTAGGCACAGCACGTCATTTCGTCCTAAAATAACAAAAAATTTCACAAAGATAATATATTCCTCATCATATAATATGAAAAGTGTAAGTAATAACCTGTAAATTGTGACGACCGAATGCAATCAAAATCAAGCTGATGATAAAGAACACTAATTCTTCATCAAAGTAATGATATCAATACAGCAACTTTACCTTTACATGTACTATGTATTACATGTAGCTGAAAATAAGTCAGGTTATGGTCAGTGTTACCAACCGCAAGTAACGGAATTACCCCCAAATCTAATTAAAATGCTCCCTTTTTCCTCACAATAGCACCACCTTCCTCAAAAATTCCTCACGCAGATTTAGAAACACAATTAAGATTGAAAAATAAGAAAAACTTTAAAGTTTTGTTTGTTTTTTTGTAGACATTAGACAAACAATTTAGTTCATCAACATAATATCACGCCATCTAATAGCGAAGAAATACATTTTGAAGTGGTTATTATTTGAAGGTAACTATATTTTCCTTCTAATGGCAATAACAAATCTGTGAATCACTCGTTTCTCGCAATAATGTCAGCATACAAACAATAAGCAAATCGTTTTTTAAAACCGAATACATTCTTCATTTAAAAATACAGCACAGTCAATGCTCCTACTTTTGCTCCACAAGTTTCAAATGCTTACAAATGTAAGCATTTACCCTGATATTGGCAACACTAGTTATGGTTGCTCGTGGACGGAGGTTACCTTTTTGACATCACATTTGACAGTTTGACAGAAATGACTTATGAATTACACATTGCACTGAAATTATAAGGGCAATTTTAGGCGAATTACCGTTTCGCTTTTATTATGGTAACAAGTATTACTACAAATTATATAAAGGAATTTTATAGGTTGTTAAGTTTTATATCGCAACTATAAGATATATATTGTTACTAACAGTTATATAACATTACTTTTAGTGATATTAATGACGTCTTAATTTATATAAGGGTACTCGTGATTCCGCCATACTTGTTTACAAAAATCTTTAAAATACTGGAAACGAACCATATATACAAAAACTTAATAATTAACCTATTAATAGATCTTTAATAAACATGTTTTGGTTTTAATGAAATAACGGAATAGTAAATGTTAGTAATAAGCTGTGAAATTAAATTTGGTTCATATATTTAAAGTAAAAATATAAACTCAAAAAAATTATTAGTGGAAATTATAGTGGCCCTTACGTTTCTTCAAAGTATTTCATTACCTTTCGCAATGAAATACGATTCCCACCAAAATTTTAAGTGATCCAACAGTAAAGTCCAACAATAATAGTACATACGTTTTTTTAATTTTATCGTGATTCTCCATTTTTGTTT